GGGGGGGGGGGGGGGGGAGGGGGGATGTGACTTTAATGTCACCTTAACTACTGTGTTTAGGGTCACTTTAATTTTAATGACTGTTCCAAATTATTGTTTGTATTATCATTTACCAATGTATGTACTATCAGTGGGATGATCCAGGCAATGCAGCTTCTGTTGGGGGTTTTAACGTTCATGTTTTTATGACATGCTGATCAACATCAGCTTTGAGGGCCACTGGCAGGCCATACACCAGAAGAATTTTGTTTGGAAAAAATGGTTTAATAGTTATTGGTGACAAATTAACAACTGCTTTCACTATAGAAATAGGGGGGGGGTCGTCAAAGGAACAGGATCATCAAATGTTAAACCAAACAAAATTTTAAATGGCATTCGTCAAGTCTCTGATGGCATTATCAAAAGTTGTGACAAGATGTTTTGCATGTTTGTAGGAAAATATACCAACATAAGGCCAGCTTAAAGCAAGATCACTAAATGATCTGTCCATAAATGACTGCATCAGGCAGCTGTCATGACATGTCCATGGTTATTCTAGGCAGAAGGATTACAGTGGATCTCTATGGCCCATCACTGTGCCCCCCCAATAGACCAGCACTAGGGTAATGTGCTCAGTCATGGAAGCACAGCCAACAAAACTTCTGGTTAGGCCACAATCATTCAATACACGCCGCATTCTGAGTAAAGTAAATTATTTTATATTGACAGTAAACAAGTCACAAAGCGGTCACACTTCCCAAACATCCTCCACACAGCCGCCCTTCTCCTCCACACATGTATACATGGAGCAGCCTCGTACTCCTCGGACCACACATGACCCTCACCATACCTCTCACACCCCCCGCAGCTACTCGTGCGGCCCAGGAGATGACAGGAAACAGCATAGCCGTAAACCGTGGCAGAGCGGGGCTGTGTATTAGACGACCTCTCCGTACACAGCAAAGCAGCTGACACCAACCGCCACCCTGTCCGTGACTGACATTACACACATAGAACAGGACACGACCCCCGAGTCGTATACCTCAATTTGTAAACACTCTGCTCCCCGCACGACTCCACCGCTAGGACCCCCGTCACTGAGGCTACCGCGTAACTGCCTGTCGGTAATGTGCAGGACACATCGCACCGGGAGTCAGAATTTTTATTACGGCTTAGCTCAGAGAAATAAAGCGGTGGGGTAATTAATTCTGTTGGTGTTATTAGTTATGGTGTACATAATTATGGACAGGCAGTGTAATGGACAGACAGTGAAGGTCCCCTTCTGGCAGATGAAGGGAGGAGCTGGGCTGTCATGTGACTGTCTTTTCCTAGAGTACATACAGGTGGAAAGTAGACGTGACAGGGGGAATGTTGGTGGTTCTAGAAGGGACTGGAGTGTTCGCAGCAACTGAACGGTGCTCGGAAATCTGTCACCGTGGGATTGGTCCCTGGAACAACCAAATTACTATACGTTCGGAAGAAATACAAATCTAAAAGGGAATATCCAGTTACAGAAAACCCAAATGTTCTCTTTAATGTAATATAATAATACAAATGGCTTATACTTGGTTCAAGTATTTGCATACAAGGGGGACTGTGTACCCTTTAAGGGCCCATTCACACCTAAGCTGTTCGTCGCTCGTCGATCAGTGCGACAAACAAGTCAACGCCAGGAATCCCATTCATTTATCTGGCCCCTGTGCACATGTCAGTTTTTTGTTGCAAGCAGAAATACGCCTGTCGCACGAAATGTGCTACTTTGGGGCTGATTTCAGCGCATTTTGCCCCATAGATTCAATAGAATGTGCTTGAAAAACACGCATTGCGATTTTTGTGCGCGTTTTGTCCATTGACACGAATGGTGTCAATGGTGCTCACAAAAACACGCAACTTAACCACTTGCTGTCCGGAGCAATTTCTTATTATTTGAACACATGATAAAATCAGAATTTTTGGCTAGAAAACTTCTTCAGACCCCCAAACAATGATATATTTCTGAAAGCAGAGGCTCTGTAGAATAAAAAGATGCTAGTTGCAATTTTTTATGTTGCATGGTATTTGCGCAAATGTTTATCAAACCAATATTTTTAGTATACAATATACTAAAATAAAATTTAGTGAACAGAAACATCATATAATACCCAATTTTTTGGTAAAATATAACAGACGGGGTAACATCAGGTAAATAGATACCAAACATGTCAAGCCTTAAAATTGCGCTCGCCTGTGAAGCTGCAAAAAACTACAATACCCCAAATTTCCCATAGGGGACATTTTAAAAGCTCTTACTGCTCATCAGTTTAGTGTTTTTTTTTTCAGAAATAAGTTATTATTGAATTTTTTACAAAGACAAAAGAACATGGATACAATAACAGAAACAAAAAGACGTACATACAGCACAAAAAACCCCGTGGTCCCATTAATCAGATGCTTAGCACGTCCGGGCCTTAGAGCATAGAAGGCACTCATGGTATCGGCAGTTATGAAATCCCTGAGCTAGACACAATATATAAATCGCCACCATGGTAGGTTCATCAGTTAAGTGTTAACAGTGAGTGATGGCCTTAGAATTATTGCTCTCACTCTGACGTTTGCGGCGATATGCAACATATGTAGCGCAATTTTCGTTTTTGCACATAGATGCACTGACACGTGTTTGCATATGTATGCGTGTGCATGTAGAGGGCGGGGGACTTTAACAAAATGTGTTTTGCATTTTTAAAAACATTTTTTATATGTTACTTTGATTTTTTGCACTTTTAAAATTTTTTTTACATGAACTTTATTGCAAACACATAGAGGTATAACAATCCCCCTATGTAATAGCAAATAGGGTGCGACAGGTCCTCTTTATGGAGACATCAGGGGTCTTTCAGACCCCTAATGTCACCTAGGGACCCCAAAGAAGCTGATGAAGCAGAGATCTGCTTCACCAGCTTCTTCTTCTGGCTCTAAGAGCTGAAGAATGCAAACAGTGACACCGGAAGTGATGTAATACACATCACTTCTGGGTCCAGCGATCGGAGGAAAAATTAGCGGCTAGAAGCCTGCTGATCTCTCTCCGATCGATGTGGGGAGATCCACTGTGCCAGTACTAGGCCCGCACAGGGGACAGTGGAGCCCAGGGTAGCCGCGGGGTGGGTGGGGAGAGCACACTCCGCTGATCGCTACAAGCAATCCGGCGACTATATAGTGCATGCTCTGCAGTGGTTTTGGATGATTTAATAGTGACTTCTTTGTAATACTCTCCAGTAGTTTATGATTTGAATCACCACTACATGTCCATCTATAAGTGTATTGGTGGAATTCCTCCATCCCAACTCTACTGCTAGTAGTTCCTTCTTAATCTGTGCCTCCCTGTTTTGTAGTTGTTAGAGTTCTGCTTTCAAAGATGCTAGGCTTTTTTCCTCGCATTATTGTGGCCCCTAGGCCTGTTTCTGAAGAGTCACATTGCACTTCTGCTGCTTCATGTGGGTTAAAGTATTTGAGGTAGCTGTGTCTGCAAAGGACTTTTTAACTGCCTGGAATATTGCCTCCTGTATATGTCTGTCTTTTCCTAGAGTACATCTCGCACATATCAGACTTAAAGGAGAACTATGGGGTCAGTGTTTTTCCCCATAGTTCTCCTTAGGGTAATGGGAGGACACAAACTAGCGTCCTCCCGTTACCCTAAGCTCAGTATACAGCTACAGCTCGCGGTATACTGAGACGCCGCAGCCGGAGCGCATCCCGACGTAGATGACGGGATCCGCCCAGCTGCGTGAGTGACAGCTGGCTCTGCCTATCTAGAGGCAGAGCCAGCTGTACCAGCCCCCTCCCCCGTCCGTTCCGCCAGTCAGCGCTGGCAGATCGGAGAGGGGAATCCAGCCCCTCCCCCTGTCACGGCAGAGAGCTGTGACAGGATCGAGAGGCGAGCAAACCCGGTATGTGTTCGCTCACCTCCCGATCTACTGAGCCGACCTGTGACAGTCTCATTGTCACAGGTCGGCTAGAACTATGAGGTGAGTGAAAAGCACTCACCTCATAATTCTCCTTTAAGGTGCCCATACACCTGCCGATTATCATACGATAATCGGCAGGTGTATGGGCAGCGTGCGACCGTTTCTACTGTACGGTTGCACGTCTTTCGTCTCCCGAGCATGTTGGAAAACATGCCGAAAATCGCTCGATTGTCAGCGGGTTGGTGGCGTGCTCGGAAGACGAATGCCGCACGGGCCGGTGTG